CCTAACAGATCGTTTAATAATTGCGCCCATTCTCTTTCATCTGGAGGTATCAAACTGAAATAATAAATACATTATCCCTCATATCTATTGTAAAAATCATTAAAAATTTATAAATATTACACGCTTATATACAGGGTTGGCCATATTCGACGGAAAGACCTTGAACCCTATTAAATGATTTTTAAAATGAACAGTAAAAAATGTGTTTTTTTCCCATGATTGAAAATTCAAGGTCTTTCCGTCGAATATGGCCAACCCTGTATATAAGCGTGTAATATTTATAAATTTTTAATGATTTTTACAATAGATATGAGGGATAATGTATTTATTATTTCAGTTTGATACCTCCAGATGAAAGAGAATGGGCGCAATTATTAAACGATATGTTAGAGATACATGGATTGATTTTTTCATGTATTGCTGTTGAAACCTGTTTCGAAATATGTGTTTCGGCCCGTTTACTTTCCAGAATTAAATGTATTATTCGTAATTGTGTCACCTTAATAGAAACGAAGAAAAATGAAAAATCTTTGTTAAAAGTATCCTATGAGAAAGCGGTTGATCTTATATTAATAGCGTCCAAAGAATATTTTAATGGTTCAAGAACGCTTACCGATCCACATATGGAATTAGCTAAGTAAGTATCTTTTGTTAACATAATGGTAATTACATATATACAGGGTGCGTCACCAAAATCCGGACAAAATTTAAATTTAAATTTTCCGCTATATTGCGCTTCCGCCAGAGATTGTTGTTGGCGTCCGAGAAAGCCTGATGCTTCTAGTAAACAATCATATTCTCAAAATGGCCGCGTTGAAACCAAGTGCGGAATACAACCGAAGAGCCGATCATCGAAGACCTTCGCGCTGGGTGCTCAGCAACGAAAATAATTCTTTGGATACTCGAAATCAATCGTTTATGATATACGCTGTGGCAAAATATACGGCTTTAAAACAGTTCAATAAAGATTCCAGTATGCTAGCAAGGAAGACTCACTTGAAAGAACGCAACGCAATCGTTGAAAGGGTTCAAGCGTTGATTTCGGATGACTCAGAACAATCGTTGCGAAAATTAGCATCGATTATTGATGTAAGCGAGCCAATGCGTCGAATTGCCGAGGAAGACCTTCGTACATATTAAAGATACGACAGGTGCTCTCTGAGGCTGCCAGAATAAGCCAAGTTGCTTTGCCTTCCATTATGGCCTCCCAATAGTTCAGATTTAAATCTCTTGGATTATTACGTATGGAGCATAATTGAAAGAGTCACAAACAAGTTTCGACATCCCAATGTGACGTCATTAAGGACCGCTATAGAGACAGCATTCGTCGGCATGGACAGACGCTACATTACAGCGTGCATACGAACGCTTCAGATCGAGAATAGAGATCGTCATTCAAACTAATGAAGGATATATCGAATAATTGTGCTCTACAGGGATCCCCCAAGTGCTATATAAAAAGATTTTTTGTAATATTTTAATTTTTCTTTAAAAACATTTTGTTTAAAGAAATTATTCGATTTGTCCGGATTTTGGTGACGCATCCTGTATAATAACTTGTTCTGAAATATAATTTATGTAAATAATTGTTCTAGAACTTGCTTGGATCTTATTGAAGATGATAACATAAACATTAAAGAAGAATATGATCTTATTAAATCGCTTCAAATACTGAATGAATTTAATATCGATATATTACCTCTTCAAGTTAGATTAATGATAGATAGATTAAACTTAATTGAACGCTGTTTAAATAATCAAAAAGATGCTTATAAAAATCAACAAAGATTATTAATGTTAGCAACTTATTTACGAATCGAAGGAAATAATAGTAGAGTCCGTGAAGGAAAAATTTCAGAACTAATAGCTAAAAAGGCATTTGAGGTGAGATATAGCTATCTTATCTACGTTTTCTTAATCCAATTTTAAGAGTTTTCTTTGAAAACTAAAACGTAAAGATTGGTATAATATATATCATTATAATATATATCATTATTATATTTCTTATTCCACAGACTGAAGATTATAGTACATGTGCTACAATATGTATGCAGTTAACAGAAAATAATTATCTTCCTGCTTGGGAAATTTGTTTAAATTTGGGACGTTGTGATAATTATCAAGATTTAAAAATTAGACAAAAGTGTCTATGGTTTGCTGTAAATAATGGTCCTAGTGATATATTAGGTAATGTTTTAGAACATATGTATTTGTTAGAAATACAAATGCTACATAAGAATTTGGAATTGTGGATGCCCGTTGCGGAATTTGAAAATTTAAAAGATGAAGAAAGTGATACAAGCGAAGATGATTTTACAGATGCTATGACAACGGTAACAAAAATTACTTTAATGACCGATATTAATTTTAATACTTTTGTCATATATGTATAACGCGAGATATAAAAAATATATATTATGTAATTTATAGCCGCAGATAGAAACGAAAGAATTTGTTCCAAAAATGTTGGAAACTTCAACAGGAATTGTAAAAAATTCAGCTAACATCATGAAAGAATCTACATTTAGTTTAATAAGAAATATCAGTAATACTAATTTTTGGAAGTCTAGATTGAATCTTAACTTTAAAAATGAATTAGAAACTAATGCACAATATGAATTTGAAGTGGAAAACAAGAAAGACACCGATCTTCAAAGTTTTCCATGCTTTTATGAATCCTTACACGAACTATATAAGATAAGTGTTAATGAGATGAGTTACAATAAGTATTCTATGACAAACGTAGAAAATTCAAAATTAAAATGTTGTCAAGCGCTTTTAAGAATAACCATATTGAGTGAATCCTCTTGTTATGGGCTAGAAATAAGTGACATTAATCATTGTAAGTATCATATTATTAAAAATATATTTAACAAAAATTTAATAAATGAGTTACATTTATATAACGAAAATTATAAAATTATTTTATTAATTTCAGTGCTTTTAGAATGCGCAAAACACACTATGTCAAACGATTGGTTACTTAGTATGGCGTATCTATTGAGTTTAAATAGAGATCGTATCTTAGATGCTCAAACAATCTTTATAGATTTTCCACAAACTGAATTGTATATACAGACTGCGCTCTATTACTATTCATTAGAATTGTATAAGAAATTATACACTAATTGTGAAAAGTTATATTTATACAGCCCATTAGATTTAGTGAAAATTATGCTAGTTGCAGCACAAAAGTCTGAAGAATGTGATATTGTTAAAACATTACAATATTGGCAAAGTCATCTACTCGGTGAAGCACATATTACTAGTATGAAAGAAGTGAAAGTAAAAGATATAAATACATTAGAATTGAGACAAATTACTATCCATGTACATTCTGAAGAAACTGTGAAAATCTCAAAATCCATTAATGAAGAACGAGTCTCAGAATGTGTCGATGTTACTAATATTCCATCAAATTCTAAGGCGAATGAAGATCTGAAAATAGTTATCTCAGATGATATTGAGGCCGTAGAATGGACGGATGATTGGGGTGATTTTTCCGATAATAGCATGGAAGCAAATAACGAGAAGAAGGATAAAATTAAATCCAAAGAAATTTTACAAGAAGAAACCGTTCTTTCTCTTGATTCTCTTGATTGCATCATTGCCGAGTGTGAGACAGAGGAAGATCGATTTAAGCTATTTAAGAAACGGTTCAATCAAATCAATAATTTAGAGCAATATCAGGAAGTAAAAAAAATAATATCGCAGTGGCCGAAATTTAATATGCCAGATCATATCACAATAGATAATCATCCAGTTTTAAAAATGATGAAAGTGATAATTGCGCTTATAGAACCGAATACAGCTGATTTTGAAAAAATAATATTAGAAGAGCATGAGAAACTCATTGAATTATTAGCATCTAAGGAGGTATTGTAATAAATTGCATTATTTCCTTTTTTATAGATAATTAAATATATTGTACTTATTTTTAAATATATTTTATAATATAGATTCTCAAACAGTTTTTGAAACTTGAACGAAATCATATTAGCTTTGTACAAAGCCTTTACATAAGATTATGCTCTCAGGACGTCTTGATGCATAAAGAAGCAGTAATTCTTATTAAAGAACAACAGGTCATTGTCGTCTGTCTATTTGCCTACAAAAAGTTAATTCTTAAAATATATATATATGTATATAATTTTTTTTTCAGACTGTTTTGTTACCACCATTAATACTGGAGAAACTTTTCCGAAATGATTTAACAGCATTGTTTAGACCAAATCACATTGTATACAAACAGATTATCGAATATGTCTTTGTAAATGAATCTTTAACCGGCATTGAGGAAAATGCAAAAATACTTGTAAATGAGTTAAAAAAACAGAAATATATACTAGAGGCTTTGCATATTATAAAATTAATGGAGAGAATATCACCGGTCTTATGCACATTTGATACTTGTTTTCAATTATTAATACAGGAATGAATCCCGAATGTAAAAAATAACTGTGATGTATGTTGAATATAAAGGGAGATTACAGAAAGATATTTGTTACAAGTAATCTCTCTGTTTTATATAAAAATGTTTAAAAGATATACATGCGATATGGAATTTAAAGTTGCCTCAGTTACAAAGTTTATTATATTTCATCGTAATAAGGAAAAAACGTAAGAAAGACTGAAACAATTTTAAATCCTTTCGCGAAGCTTTCTATGACTATATTTTGAAAGATTTATGTATCTTTTGTGTGTATGTGTGTGTGTGTGTGTGTGTGTGTGTATATATATATATATATATATATATATATATATATATATATATACATATATGAAAGAATTTATTTGTAAATATGTATAATTACAAATTGCGTTGTAAGGAATAAAAATCAATTTGATGAAGAAATTCAGATAGTGTCTAACTAATGTATACTCATGTCTTATCAATCCTTTTGTGAAAAAATAGGTTAGCCTTATCCAAATCAAAGGGAATAAGCTCTCTCGATTCAATGTATCTCAAAGGTAAGTGTAATAACTGGGTAAAAACTATAGTCCGACTGAAATTTCGGCTTCGATTTCAGTTAGTTTCAGTAAAAAAATCAGAGTTTTCGGTCGAGAATTAAGAGAAAAATTAAGAGAAAATTTCGGTAAGTAAACCGAAAATGTATAAATTGCAATGCGTTGGCGAGCATTCAAAAAACCACATGTTATTGTCGGCCGATTGTTGCAAATCACGCCAGCGCTATTTCTTCTTTTTTTTTGTTCTTTTTTACTCGCCAAGTCATATGTCTAGTGCTTGAAGTTTCTTATAATTTAAGGAATAAGACATTAATAAAATCTTATTTTTTAAAAAGTATATATAAATTACATATAATATAATATAATACATATATATAAGTATACATAAATTTCACATATTTTGACATTTTGACAATGACTCTCTGAAAATCATGTGATGTTTGTAAGATTTATCCAATTTCGGTTTCGTTTTCGATTTCGGTCGAAATTGAATAAAAACTGAATATTCGTTTTTAGTTTCAGCCGGAGATAAAAAGTGGTTTCGGTTGGACTCTAGTAATAATTCCGCAAATGATATCTCCGTTGGTTTTATCAACTATGATAAGATTGAATCATTTAATCACCGCGATACGTTATATCGTGCTGCATCGTGTTGTATGCTCAATTACCACTGATGTAAATATCATTGCGCGTTTGTACCCTCCAGTTGTACTGAATGTCAACGATGATTGAGCGTGGACTACGCTCCCCGCACACATAATCGCTTGTCTAGCTTAGCAAACTGTTCCGTTCATGTGAGAATTTAGTTTGCCGCTTCCTTTGGTTGAATAAACACGTCCTTTAGTCGGGTGAGTCGATATATTTACACATATGTCTGCGGCCGCAAATATCCGTTTGCTTATTGCGGATGTTATTTATAAATGTGTATCTTTGTATTTAAAATACTTAAAATTTCTTATTATCTTGTGTTTAAAATATTTAAAATTTCTTATTATCTTTGTTGAACCTACTGAACACAACAGTAAATGCTTTCTTTTACTTTAATTTGTAAAAAATATGTAACAAATTTATTTATATATTACTTCTTTGAAATAAATTATTCATTTGTTTTCGATGTTGAAAATTATGTTTATATGTGTTTCGCGTGTACTAAATATGTTTTAAATAAAATTAAAGTAATAATACAATCCAATTACCATTTGTTAAGAAATGAATATTAAACAGCCTTTGTTATCGCAATATCAAGTTTTGATATAATTTTTATCAATTACAATTTATTTTTTATTTGCTGGTGTTCCCAATCAATTAATAAATTGTTCTCAACATTTCTACACTAATATACAAAAATTCTATAGCTGTAGTTTATATTTGTACAGTTTAACAATTAATCAACCGAAGAACAAAGAAGATATTCCAGCTACGGCTTTGTTCGCTGTTCCAAACGCCCTTCCTCTCGTTCTCTTCACTGTGCAGGGAACGTACATTTCTTTTTTCATCGACCCGGCTTCCCCCTTAATAACTCGGCTATTTTTGCGTCGTGCATCGCGACAGTATGGAGTACAATGATACGCTGCTCATCCCAGGTCAGCATATACGCCCGCCCGTGACCGAGGAGACGGCGGTCGCACTGCTAGAGCGACTCTACGGTATGAAAGCGACGAGCGTGCGCGAACTGAACTCTTACGACGATCGCAATTACCACATGATTTGTGATGGGACGACTGTGAATCCACGCATAATCAGCCCAGAGAAGGCCGGCTATGTCCTTAAAGTGATCAACTTCTTGGATTCTCGCAAGACCGATGTGATAGAAGCACAAACAGAATTAATGATTTTCCTCAATCAGCGAAATGTCTGCTGTCCGTTACCGATTAAGAATATGAACGGCGCGTACTTTTCTTTAGAGACTCTGAAGAACGAGAATACCATGGAGAAGTATGCCGTGAGACTGTTGGTCTATTGTCCCGGTGAATTATTGTACCATGTAAAAATAACCGACGAATTATTGTGCAAGGTCGGCAGCTTCACCGCGAGAATCGATGAGATACTCATGGGCTTCAATCATCCCGCCTTCGACGATCACAAATCATTGTGGATGTTGACTTCAATGCCGCGAGTGCAGCAATTCATGTATGCGATCAAGAGTTCGTTGGATAAGCAGTTGGTGCACGACGTGATCGTAAGTTTCCAGAGGGAAGTATTGTCAATCACAGACCAGCTGGAACAAACGATCATACATGGTGATCTAAATGAGCACAACATCCTTGTGAGTCCCGACGGTAAAGACATTGTCGCTGTGATTGATTTCGGTGATTGTCACAGGACTTGTTGTATTTTTGAGCTAGCGGTAGTTCTTTGCTACATGATTCTACAAACAGCCGATGTAGAAATGGGTAGATACGTTGTGGAGGGTTACGAAAAGATCAAGAAACTGACCGACGTGGAGAAGAAGATTCTTAAAATCAGCGTATGCGCCAGAATATGTCAGAGTTTGATAATGGGCGCTTACTCGCACTTGCACGATCCCGAAAATCAGTATTTGCTGACCACACAGAAAACTGGATGGATGTTACTAAAGAGATTGTGGCCCATGAATCGAGAAGATGTGATGCAAGCTTGGGGATTGACTGTTTCCTAAACGTAATAATATTGATCAGTTTGTCGAATTAACAAATTAAATGCTTAATTAAGGAATTAATTAAGGAACTAAAATTATTTACTGCTTTGGTTATACATTTTTCTATAAATATTTGAATGTATTTAATGATTACCTATTGGAAATAATTATGCAAAATTGTAATTATTAGATTGAATCGGTGGAAACAGAGGTGTTGAACTCAGAATAATTTATTTTAGTATTACATTTGATATCTACTGATTTCTAAATGTTATTAATCGGTAATAGAGTATTATTGATCATTTTCAATTGCAATAATTTATTACATTTATATATATATAAAATGAAAATGATCTACTGATCTTATCAATTTGACCTTGGGTGGCGCCAAAGTTAAATCAAGGTCAAATCGATTTTTTTAAACAAAACATCCTATTTTTTATTTTATTTTTTATTTTAGAATCTAATAGCTGATGTCAGGAACTTTTCAAAACACTATAGTAAAGCCTCTTTTTAATCAGTATTTTTCAAATTGAGACTTGAAAGTTATAGAACTGCCGGCATTAGCATAGGTATTACCTAAGGATATATATATGTATATATATGTAAAAGATGTGCGTGCGTGCGTGCGTGCGTGAGTGCGTGTACAGGGTGGCACGAAGACGGTCTCACTCGTCCCGAGCAGGTAGAGTGGACTAAACTAAATAGAAAAGTCCTCTACCATTTTGTAATGCTCGCAATAATTAACGAGATATTACGAGATATTATATACGTTTAAAGATAGCCGAATATGCACGTCCGCCCAACTTACTATTGTCGAAGATACGGCTTACTGAGCGTACGACGCGCGGGCCGCGAGGAGAGAATGGCCTAGCAGGCGCGCCGTTCGAGAGGCTCGCGACGGTAAGCCGCGCTCCTCACGGCTCGCGCGCTTGGTGGGCCATACTTTCAGCAATAATAGGTCGGGAGGTCGTGCGTATTCGGCTATCTTTAAACGTTAATATCTCGTTCATTATTGCGCGCATTACAAGATGGTAGAAGACTTTTCTACTCAGTTTAGTCCACTCTACCTGCTCGGGACGAGTGGGGCCGTATATTCATGCCACCCTGTTTACATAAAAGAATATCTAAGAAGAGTTGTGTATTCATTTATGTTTTATTTTTTATATTGAAACTGTCATAAACAAAACTTTTGAAAAGAAAGCTATTGTACAAGTAATGCTTTTCAAAAGCTGCAGTCTCTTGATTTCATAACTATTGTATATTTAAATTTATTCTCAATTATGTTTTTTTTTCATTAAAACATTTCGTCTAATTTATTAAGTCAATTACGAGAGCAATAATTCTACAACATTTTAAATTACATACATAAATGTAAAATGTAGTAAAAATACAACAGAAATAAAAAAAAGAAAGATATTTTTCAATGATTATTTATTTGTTCAAATGATGCCTCTTAACTTTTGTTATTAACGAATGTTACAGTCAATGGCCAGCATCCACAATTTTTGTATACAGGGTGTCCCAGAATGATCGCCAAATATTTCATATGCTGATAGAATGGATTAAACTAAGTTGAAAAGTCCTGTACCATTTTGTAATAATAATTTTTATAATAGTTAACTGGATATTAATTACTAAAAATCACCGAATATTGGTTTTCAATAATTTTTTACTCAAGTATTATCAACAACAGAAAAATAGTAAGAGACAAAAATTGTTTATTTTCTTTTCATAGAGTTCTAAGAATGTTTTTAGAATTTTTTATCATTTTAGTATTGCATTTTCTTATATATTGGCAACTATTTTTACCAACATGAGGAAATGTGATATTAAGAAATTTTATAAAAATTCTCAGTCTTCTCTATGAGAAGAAAATAAACAATTTTTATCATTTGCTATTTTTCTGTAAAGTTGATAGTACTTGAGTAAAAAATTATTCAAAATGTTCGGCGATTTTTAGTAATTAATATCTTGTTAACTATTGCGAAAATTGCAAAATGCTATAAGATTTTTTGACTCAGTTTAATCCGCTTTACCAGCATACGAAATATAGCGGTTATTCTGGAATACCTTGTATATTTCAAATCGTCTTAAATCTTAGCGGGATCTCATTAAGCGACCGAAAAAATAGTA